TTCTACCGACCACTATCTGCCATAGGTGTCCCAACAGCCTTTGCGAAGTTGAGTTCCTGCCTGAAGATGTATTAATGCACCTGCGAAATCTGAAGACCTCTTCCTCCCCTGGTAAAGATGGGATGACGGCTGCTGTACTTAAAAACTGCGCTTCAGCACTGGCCCTACCATTAAGCTTGATATTCACATCGTCTTTTAGATCTCATACCCTACCCTCATGCTGGCTTAGTGCTTCTGTTACCCCTGGATTCAAAAAGGGCGACAAATCCTCCGCTAAAAATTATCGACCAATAAGTCTCGTTCCTATCGCCGCCAAAATAGCTGAAAGAATCATATTAGATAAGCTCCAGTCATTTGCTTTCGAAAATGACCTTATCCCTAAGAATCAGCATGGATTTCTCCCTGGTCGATCAATAATGACCAACCTTCTCCACTCTCTCAACGATTGGACTCAGTATCTGGACACAAAGACTCCTGTTGTTATAATCTACTTAGATTTTTCTAGGGCTTTCGATCGCGTACCACATAGAAGGCTTCTGTTTAAGTTGGAATGTATGGGAATAAGAGGCGAGATGTTACTGTGGATTAAGGCTTTTCTCACCGGGAGGACTTTCTCTGTGCGCGTCAGTGATAGCCAGTCTCACCTTCATCATGTAGCAAGTGGAGTTCCTCAAGGCTCTGTCTTGGGGCCAGTGCTGTTCCTTCTGTATACAAGTGACCTGCCCGCATTGATTTCCTCCACATGTTCAGCTTATGCCGACGACACCAAGATTTACAATACTGTCGTAAATTCTGCTATGCTTCAACGAGATCTTGATATTGTTTGTCAATGGTCCGTCAGTTGGCTTTTACCCTTAAATCTAACTAAGTGTTGTGTCCTTCACCTCGGGAAGACAAATCCGCGATTTACATACAAGATCTCTGACCACAACATCGAAGCAGTTTCGAGCCACACTGATCTGGGCGTTGTAGTCAACGATCGTCTTTCCTGGTCAGAGCATATTCACCACGTTACATTAAAAGCCAAGAAACTTCTATATATGCTGGAGAGGTCTTTCAAAGGATCCGATGTCAACACTTGCCCCTTCATTTACAAGGCATTCGTGAGGCCAATTCTTGAATTCGCTGGCCCGGTATGGGACACTGTGCTTCTGCGCGATAGAAATCTCGACGAATCACTACAGCGTCGGGCTACTCGTATCCCTTTTGGAGCACGAAGACCAAGCTATGAAGATCGCCTTGAATTATTCAACCTGACCTCATTCTCTGAGCGAAGACTTCGTGGCGATCTTATAGTTACGTTCAGGATACTTCATGGTTTGATGGGCACCAACCTCATGCATCTATACCATCTGTCGCGCAGCAATCTACGCGGACACAGCTTCAAACTGCATAAGGAGCCATTTAAAACAACAGTCCGACAGTGGTTTCTTCCCAACCGCATACTCAACACCTGGAATAGTTTACCTGAAAGTGTGGTTGGTGCTACTTCAGTTAATAGCTTCAAAGTGCAGTATGATAGCTGGAGGAGTGTACAAACTTTATAGCTATGAACTGTATTTTTTTCTATTTGATGTATTTGTGTTACGTGTCCGTACACTATATTTACTGCATGAGCTTATAGTACTGTGTACTCTGCTCATCTCAATTATCATAATAATAATAATAATAATAATAATTAAGACTTAGTTGCTACTAAATCCAACCCTCTCCAGAACATAGGTATAAGTGGTGACCGCCAAATGCCAAGTATTATAAGAATGGTCATGTAAAGCGAGAGTTTTTGTTTTTTCTACATTTGCTTCCTAATGAGTAATGGCAATGGCCTAAATCATAAATACATTAAATAAAAGGTTTAAAACATAATTGTTTCATATTCATTAAGAGTAGTAGTAGTAGTAGTAGTAGAAAGATTTATTTAGCACATTTGGCTACATAAACAGAATAATTGTAAACAACTTAGAACTAGTAAATTCAAGCCATATGGTACATGATGTAAATGCTGGGCAACCTATAATTGTAGATTTAACAAGTGATTTCTCAGTTTTACTTTAAATTTTGTCAAAGTTTTCTGGTCTTTTATCTCCGAGTATAATTTATTATATTCAATCAACCCTTGATGGAATACAGATTTGTAGCATATGTTATACTTTTTGGTCATTAAATGGAAGTCATCTTTATTTCTGGTATTATGTAAATGATGGTCGACATTTGATGATGTTAAATTAGTTAGACTTGATGGAAATATATTATTTTTTACTTTATAAATGAATATCACAAGATATTTGATAATTTTTTTTACATTGAGCCATTTTAATTTGCTAAGCATTTGCCTAATTGGAGTATATTTATCTTTATTTAGTATTATTCTCATGCACTTATTTTGTAAAATTTGCAGTCTTTCAAAAATGGAATTATTTGCTAAATATAGAATAGTCGAACAGTACAAGAAATTTGGAAGAATGATGGTATTATAGATAATTTTTCTGCTATATGAACTCAGACATCCAGAAACTCTCGATAAATATCCCACTTTACTACTAATCTTATTTATAACTTTTTCATAATGAATATCAAAAATTAATCGAGAATCAACAAAAACCCCCAGGTATTCAAAATTTTCTACGAATTCAATATCTTCACCATCAATATTCAGTTGAACATTTGTTCATTGTTTTTTTCCGATTAACAAGGCTTTCGTTTTACTTGCATTTAGTTTAAGTCTGTTAGATGCTAACCATTTTGAGACAAGCTTCAAGTCTTCATTTATATAAGAGATACCAGACTGAATATTTTTAGTACTTATATAAATCATAGTGTCATCGGCGAAAATCTGAATTTCGCATTTTTTGACTATGGCAGGTAAATCATTTATGTATAAAATAAAAAGAAGTGGTCCCAGGATACTGCCCTGTGGAACACCCAACGTATTTTCAATTTTTGATGAAATAGTGTCATTAACTTTTGTAACTTGCATCCTTTTAGACCAATCTAAAACACTTCCTGTTATACCATATCCCTTCAATTTACCTAACAAAATATCTCTATCAATCGTTTCAAATGCCCTCTTCAAATCCAAAAATACTGCTATGACAACTTCTTCTGAGTCTATGGCTCTTCTCCAATTCTCAGTTACCAACTGGAAAGCTGTTTCTGTGAAATATTTTTTTCGAAAGCCTGCTTGCGCCTCAACTAAAATTTTGTTTTCTTCTATAAGCTGCATTAATTGGTCATGCACTATGGACTCTAATAATTTTTCAATGTCTGGTAACACATTTACTGGTCTCATATCGCTGCATCTTTTAGAATTTTTTATTTTGGGAACTGGTGTTATTGTAGAGCATTTCAAATTTTCAGGAAAAGAACTGCTTCTCAGTGAACAATTGATCCAATTTAATACAGGATATCCCAAAATTTCGAAACAGTTTTTCAGCACGTTTTTAGTAGTGATTTCGGCACAATTGTTATTTGATTTTAAACTGTTTACTTTTTTTCTTAGATAATTCAATGATAGGCTGTGAAATTTTGAAAGTGTATGCAACATTTTCCCCTGGAAACTGATTTTCATATAGTCAGGTGCAGCATTGGCAGTACCCACAATATCAACAATACTTTCCACAAAATATTCATTTAGTTTGTTTGCAATCACCAAAGAATTTGTTTCGGTACCGTTTTCGAATTGAACTTGACTTACACAATCATGCGGCTTCGAATTGATCAGTCTTTTTAAAGTCTTCCACATCTTTACACTGTCGCACTTGTTATTATCGATTTGTTTATCGTAGAATTTCCTTTTTTCTTCTCTAATTACATATACACATTTATTCCTAAGAGTAAGTCAGAATTTCCGCAACTCCCGTCTTTTTCAAGTGTTGCAAGTTGTCAATGCAACTATACGAACAGCGTTTACTTGCACATTCGATTTTTATCACTAATACAAAAAATCTCAATCCATAGAAAGAACATTTTATGAAAAAATAACAATTTAATGAAAAGAATAGTCGTAAGAGGATTGCTACGTAATGTTCTATAGTTTAAATTCAAAACAGAGGCATTGCAAAAATCTCTTTTTCAAAGGATTCCTTGACTTGGCACGGACACATGTCGTAAATAGCAGCAGCTGCTGGAAGAAAACCAGAATATTTGCTTAGTACTAAGAACTAAGAAGTATGTCCCTCGGCATGTCCTACTCACGCTGTACAAGGCCCTAGCTTCGAGTACTGCTCACATGTTTGGGGTGCTGCCGCCCCGAACAGATTACTAATTCTCGATGCTGTTCAAACGAGAGCTGTCCGACTGATCGATCACTCTTTTCTAACGGTCAGTCTCGGAAACATTTTGTACCGAAGGGCCGTCGATGATCTACCTGTCTTCTACCGTTACGTCAACAGGCTATGCTCCTCAGAGCTTTTCTGTATGATGTCGCCGCGCGATGTACCTGGCAATCGGCCTTCCATCCGTGTCAAAGTTATATCCATAACTGGCCGATACGACCACTCCTTTGTCCCTAGGGTAGCTAAAAAGAGGTCCTAAGTAACTTTTCTCTAAAGTTGATCGTTTCCAGGTTATAAGCGATTCAATTCCAGAAAGACCCTAAAAAATTGGCGCAGTTTCGATGCTTAAAAACTCAAATATCTAAATTAAAACCCAAGTCTTCCCTTACCAGAATCTGAACAATGTCTTAAGGCTTAGTTTGTTTTAAGGCAATGTTTAATCTTGCTCGGTGTGTTAATTAGGGGTGAAAAAGATCCCAAATACCACCCTGACAAAGTGTCATCTGAGAAGGTTACAAACCGCTGTCACTTTGACGTGTCCTAGTTGAAGCTCTCAATTTTCCCTTAACCAAGCAATTTGAATCTCAAAAGAAAATTGTCAGATATTCTGTATAATTATTCTCGGTAAGAGCTATTTCTATATGGTGCAACTAATGTACAAAATCGATAAAACATTGATAAAACTATTCATATCGGTCCCTCCATTTGTGTACTTAGGAAGCAGTGCCCGTATACCACTCATTCATATGCATATATTTAAATGAAATCGAAATTAGTTCGCATTGTGTCGTAGATATATCGCTAAGCCAGCGGAAACTCTTATCACTTACGCAAAAGTTAACTTCAGCAGGTTGAAAAGTGTGAGTGCGGTATGCCAGACGTTAGGATCGCACAATTCGAAAGGTAAGAAAACGACTATTTTGCTTGAATCCAATCTATTCACTTATCCAATCACTAGTGCGGTTTTAAGTCAGTTTATGCTATATTGATCATGCGCAATACGAAATATCCCAGCTTCTTAAGCTAGCATAATCAATTATGATCTTTACAAGGTGTAAAATAAATATGTTTGCTTCAGTGGGTGCACTTGTTTACAGTACCATTCATTAATGTTTTCCATGCAGTATTGAGGGAAATCTAAACAAATTGTAGTCAATCCTGAAAAAAGTATACGCGATTATGAGAATATACTAAGTGACATATAAATCCGAACACCCAGTTTAAATGGTTTTATTTTAATAAAAGTTGGTGAATGTATTTATCTTACTGTAAATAACAAGTGAAAAAATTTTCAGCCTTATCAGTTGGACATTCCGGTTTTTATACTGCTTTTTTTTAATTCATTAACGCTCTAAAAATGAATATTTCAGCCGCAGTAAAGAATCAACGTTGGCGGATTTTGGTTCTTGACATCCTTTACGATCAGTTACGATGCCTAGAGTACGGAGGCCTGTACGATTTCGTCAACTTAGTGAGTCTGATAGGGGCCGTATAGTGGGACTTCGGGAAGCTGGACTTTCTTTTCGGGCAATTGCAGTTAGAGTGCAAAGAAGTGTAGACACTGTGGTCAGGTGTTGTCAGGCATGGCTTCGAGAAGGCCGTACGCAAAGAGCAAGGGGCACTGGACGCCGCCGTAGAACAACAGACCGTGAAGATCGCCGCCTAAGATTATTGGACTTAAGGGACCGTTTCTCCACTACCAGGTACGTTGCAAATGAATGGTTTGCAGAACACGGAAGACCTATTGGCATACGAAGTGTTTACCGACGAATGAGAAGTTTTGGCTTGTTTTCATACCGGCCACACTGGGTCCTCCCTTTAACTCGAGAACACCGACGTAATCGCCTTGAGTGGTGCAGACAACGGTCACTCTGGGATCAGGAATGGAACAGTATAGTCTTTAGTGACGAGTCTCGATTTTGTTTAGGCATGCACGATGGTCGTGCCAGGGTTAGAAGGCGACGTGGTGAAAGGAGGAATCCACAGTTTTTTGTTGAAAGACATGTTCATCACACTGTTGGAGTTATGGTTTGGGGTGCTATAGCTTATGGTTCCAGATCACCTTTAATCTTCATCAGAGGTAACATGAACGCGCAGCGTTATATCCACGAAGTTCTAGAACCCCATCTTTTACCCTATCGTGACACCCTGGCAGATCCAACTTTCCAACAAGATAATGCCCGACCTCATGTTGCAAGAGTCACAATAGACTTCTTTCAACATAATGATGTCACATTGTTACCATGGCCACCAAAATCTCCCGACTTATCCCCAATTGAGCAAGTGTGGGATATGATGGGTAGGAGATTGCTCAATTTGCAACGTCCTCCTCAGACTCTAGAAGCACTTCGAGAGGAGTTGGTGGTTGCCTGAAATGAGATACCACAGGAGGACATTGACCACCTGATCAGAAGCATGCCTAGGCGCGTTGGAGAATGCGTAGCACATCAGGGTGCATCCACACATTATTAAAGGTCAAAGGACTTTAAAGCAGTGCAATCATTTTGAAATTTTTATCATTTACTTATTATGCTTCATTAAGTACTTATACAAAATTTTATTAAAATAAAACCATTTAAATTGGGTGTTCGGATTTATATGTCACTTAGTATAAATAAGAAATAAAGGTATATGCATCACCGATCAAAATTGAGTATCTAAGATGTGCCTTCTGAGCTACTCAGTATAATAATTTTGGATTCTCACTTACCTACGAAGCTTAAATCATGAATAAATGCTCATTTTTTTCGCAAATGTGCCCAGTTGCATAGCAGTATTTTAAAAAAATTATATTTGTTCCTGCACACTGATATTTCTTTGTTTGTTTGTTTCAGATTTATTTAGCATTAATGCTATCACAAAATATATTGTCTTCAAGACTACATGTTTTTATACAAAATTTCACTACTATCAATTCTGGTTTTCCATGAGATATTTTTTCAATTTTCCTTTGAACATTTTCAAACTGACACACATCTTGATATCATTACTTAATTTATTAAATTCGTACAATCCCTTTTGAAATACTGACTTGCTTGTTATATTGCTCCTGCAGTTTTGTGAATGAAAGTCTACACGTCCTCTAGTAGAATAATTGTGGCACTCATTGTTCAATACAATAAAATTTTCTAAGTGATTTGGTAGATCATTTAACTTGAATATGAAAATGAAAACCAAGTAGGCTATGAAATTTTTGATATTTAACCATTGTAGTTCTTTCAGCATAAAATTTATTCTAGGATATTTATTTGTACTTAAGATGATTTTCATAGCTTTATTTTGTAATATTTGTAATTTTGTAAAAGCAGTTTCATTTGTAGTGTACAAAATAGTCGAACAATATAACAAATGAGGAAGAATGATACGATGCGAAATTCTATAAAAGTAATTTATTTTCTTGGATATTTTTGAAATAATACATTCATAGTACCCTGCAAATTTTAATCTACTGTCAACGTATATGCCCAAATATTCAAATGATTCGATTGACATGATTTTTGCATGATTAATTGTAAGATTTATCGTATTTTGATCTAAAGATTTTCCTATTAGCATATATTTTGTTTTGTTTGTGTTTAGTTTAAGTTTACTTACATTTAACCAATTTATCACGTTTTTCATATCTACCATTATTTAATAGCTCTATTGCAGTTTCAATGTCTTTATTTATACAGGGTGACTTCGAAGTTGAGTCATTTATTTTAACAGTGAGTAGATCTGATCAAAAGAAATGTTTTTTTCCTTTACCATTTTTCTGGTAAAATTAAAGTAACAAAGTTATAGCCCTTTGGAAGTTTGAGTACCGCCCTGTCTCAATGATAATATTATGTGCTCGTGTTTGGCAACGACGGATATAATCCGCCTTATCGGCTCATTGCATCGGAAACAAAAGAGCGAAAGAATTTGGAAGGATGTTTTTACAATTATTTTATTCAGTTGTGTTGTATACAATCAGTGTCAGTCGGTAACGCGTCAGTGAATAGTGGTGTCTGTTGCGTGGCTCAAACGAAATAAAAAATGGCACATGTTTATGCGGATCGGTTTCCCAATCGAGTGCAACCAACCCCTCGTGCCTTTGTTAATGTAGTACAACGGGCTCGTGAATCAGGTGACTTAAGACGGTATGCCGGTGCTCCAAGACCTCGCGATCAAATACAGGTCCGCACTGAAATACTTGTCGGGGGATACTTTATAAAACAAGGTAACAATTTTTTTTAATTTTTTTTTATTTTTACACACATATTTTGGTTTATCTTCCTTCTACAATCATTATCTGAAAATTAATGATTCAACTTCAAAGTCACCCTGTATATGTGTATGTGTTATATGACTTCGAAGTTGAGTCATTTATTTTAACAGTGAGTAGATCTGATCAAAAGAAATGTTTTTTTCCTTTACCATTTTTCTGGTAAAATTAAAGTAACAAAGTTATAGCCCTTTGGAAGTTTGAGTACCGCCCTGTCTCAATGTGCTCGTGTTTGGCGACAACGGATATAATCCGTCGTATCGGTTCATCGCATCGGAAACAAAAAAGCGAAAGAATTTGGAACGAATTATTTCATTCATTTGTATACAGTCAGTGTCAGTGAATAGTTGTATCTGTTGCGTGGCTCAAACGAAATAAAAAATGGCACATGTTTATGCGGATCGGTTTCCCAATCGAGTGCAACCAACCCCTCGTGCCTTTGTTAATGTAGTACAACGGGCTCGTGAATCAGGTGACTTAAGACCTCACAGGGGACCTCACGATCAAATACAGGTCCGCACTGAAATACTTGTCGGGAGGATACTTTATAAAACAAGGTAAAAATTTTTTTTTAATTTTTTTTTATTTTTACACACATATTTTGGTTTATATTCCTTCTACAATCATTATCTGAAAATTAATGACTCAACTTCAAAGTCACCCTGTATAACAACAAGTAGGAAAATAATGGGCAAAATCCGCAAAAAGGAGGAAAGTGGATTCGAGCAGAAAATAGGATAGGTGACCCGAGCGATACGTATTTCTGCTTGAAGTACCACAGCAAGTGGCTATAACCGGCCGCGTGGTGGTGGTTAGACGTCTCCTTGAAAATTCGAGGTCGTGTAGCCATTTTATACTACAATGTGTAGGTTGGCTCTTGTTGTGGACTTCGTGTGTCGTTTTTTTTTTCCCCTCCAACTTCGTTTCCTCAGGTTACACCCGTATCCGGATGTGTGGGCATGTGTATCTACTTTTGTAGTTTCATATGTGCATTCATTTCGGGCCTGATGAAGCCAACCAGCAGAAATACGTATCGCTCGGGTTACCTATCCTATTTTCTGCTCGAATCCACTTTCCTCCTTTTTGCGTATTTTGCCCATTATTTTCCTACTTGTTGTTATATACCTCTCCCCGCATGATCATATTCTCTTTGTAGATCCTTTGGGCTTGAAGTAAAACAGCAAGTGGCTATAACCGGCCACGTGGTGGTGGTTAGACGTCTCCTTGAAAATTCGAGGTCGTATAGCCATTTTATACTACAATGTGTAGGTTGGCTCTTGTTGTGGACTTCGTGTGTCGTTTTTTTTTCCCTCCAACTTCGTTTCCTTAGGTTACACCAGTATCCGGATGTGTGGGCATGTGTATCTACTTTTGTAGTTTCATATGTGCATTCATTTCGGGCCTGATGAAGCCAACCAGCAGAAATACGTATCGCTCGGGTTACCTATCCTATTTTCTGCTCGAATCCACTTTCCTTCTTTTTGCGGATTTTGCCCATTATTTTCCTACTTTTTGTTATATACCTTTCTCCGCATGAGATCATATTCTATACATATATATATATATATATATATATATATATATATATATATATATATGCAGGGTGGCGCATCGAAAACGAAACACACGCATTTACTGGCAGCTCTTTTTTTTGAAAAAACGCTCAGACCCGTCGATTTTGTTTTCGAGGGGGACACAAGTTTGGCAAAAAATCACGTTAACACGTGCAGCCCCCTGGGCGGGGGTGACACCAACCCTAAAATCTTAAATGGAAAGGGGGGTCGAGTGATACCTTATTTTAAAGGTCTTTCAATCCCTTTATAATGATGTAAAATACATGAGCTTCAGTTCAGTATTTTTTAAGATTTATTGATTTAAAGCTTAAAGTAGACTTTAATAGGTACAACAGATTAGTTTGTACTACTTTCAGAAGAAATTTGACTAAAAGAATTTACTTAATAAGTAAATGCTTCACTACGCCCATGGTTTGTTTATCATTTTGTTGTCGAAAATAGCTATTGGAGCGTTTTTTGTGGCAAAAAAGTTATTTCTTGAAGAAAGATAAGGAAATATCTCGTACTTATTTTAAATAGGAATTTCGTATATACTTTGCGATTGATTTGACCAAACTTTGTGGCTAAAATAACTTGTAACACTTTATTACATAAATTAAGCATGGTATATACTACAGCAGAAAGAGTTGAAATTATCGAAATATTTTTCGGAAATAATCAGTGCGCTGATAGAAGAGCAGAAATATTTAATGAGCGACATGAGAACAGTAACGTGCATCGAAAATATGTTCTAGAACCTGCAGCTAAATTTCGGGAAACTGGGTCAGTTGCCAATAAAAAACCCAACACTGAAAATCCCATAAGGAACGAAGCAATAGAAGTGGGGGTTTTAGGGCAAGTTTATGTAGATCCTACGTTAAGTACCCGCAAATTGGAGACTGTGTGTGGTGTAAGTCGACGTACTGTCCAACGGTTTCTAAAGGCCTATAGTTTTCATCCGTATAAAATTCACCTGGTACAAGAACTTAATGAAGACGATTTTGATCGGGGATTACAATTTTCTGAAGATATGACTAAACGAATTATAAACGATGAACATTTTCTATTCAACACTTGCTTTTCCGATGAATGTTCCTTTTTCTTAAATGGCGTAGTAAATCGTCATAACTGCCGATATTGGTCCGATTCTAATCCCAGAATTTATCATGAGCTTCATACACAGCAGCCACAAAAATTAAATGATTGGGTTGGTACTTTTGTCGATCATTTAGTTGGTCCTTTTCTCTTACCTGGAAATTTGACCGGTGAAATGTATTTGGAATTACTGGAAGACGTCATAGATCCTGCATTAACAGCCATAATTGAAAATCAGAATGATGAGCGGTACATTGCGAATAGGTTGATATTCCAACAGGATGGTGCCTCACCACATTACGTATTACGTGTTCGACAATATTTAGATCAGACGTTTCCAGATAGATAGATTGGTAGAAGAGGTGCCATTGAATAGCCCCCAAGATCGCCAGATTTATTACCTTTGGATTTCTTTATGTGGGGTCATTTAAAAAGCAAAATCTATGCTACTCAGCCAATATCATTAGGTGACCTGCGACAAAGAATTGTGAATGAGTGCCTTCAAATTACTCCTCAAATATTGCAAAATGTGCGGCAACGTTTTGAGCAAAATCTTTATTATTGCATGGAGAGTCATGGTGGCCATTTTCAACATTTACTTACCTAACGGGTTAGTTCATTCTTCATTTTTAAATTACTTTACTGTCAAGTGTATCGATATCCACTAATGGTGATGTACTAGTTTTATTTAAGCTTTAAATCAATAAATCTTCAAAACTACTGAACTGAAGTACATTAATTTTATATCATTATAAAGGGAATTGAAACACCTTTAAAATAAGGTATCACTCGACCCCCCTTTCCATTTAAGATCTTGGGGGTTGCGTCACCCCCGCTTAGGGGGCTGCACGTGCTAACGTGATTTTTTGCCTAACTTGTGTCCACCTCGAAAACAAAATCTACGGGTCTGAGCGTTTTTCAAAAAAAACTGAACTGCCAGTAAATGCCTGTTTCGTTTTCGATGCGCCACCCTGTATACAGGGTGACTTTGAAGTTGAGTCATTAATTTTCAGATAATGATTGTAGAAGGAAGATAAACCAAAATATGTGTGTAAAAATAAAAAAAAAATTCAAAAAAATTTTACCTTGTTTTATAAAGTATCCTCCCGACAAGTATTTCAGTGCGGACCTGTATTTGATCGTGCGGTCTTGGAGCACCGGCATGCCCTCCCCTGTGAGGTCTTAAGTCACCTGATTCACGAGCCCTTTGTACTACATTCAGCATTTTCGTAAACATGTGCCATTTTTTATTTCGTTTGAGCCACGCAACAAACACCACTATTCACTCACGCGTTACCGACTGACGAAAAACATCGTGATAAACGTTTCAAATTCTTTCGCTTTTTTGTTTCCGATGCGATGAACGGATAAGGCGGATTATATCCGTTGTTGCCAAATACGAGCACATAATATTATTATTGAGACAGGGCGGTACTCAAACTTCTAAAGGGCTATAACTTTGTTACTTTAATTTTACCAGAAAAATGTTAAAGGAAAAAAACATTTCTTTTGATCAGATCTACTCACTGTTAAAATAAATGACTCAACTTCGAAGTCACCCTGTATATTTCAAATCAGTCAGCTTTGATACTTCTGGAACCAGGAATGATTTTCCAATTTGCGACGTGACTTACAAATATTCCTTTTTTCCAAGCTGTCACAAGGAGATGTTTGGTGACATGATCATCTCATGTCAAACTCCAACAGAAGGAAGCTTGCCGACAGAAGCCGTTTTATCAGTGCCCTACGTGGTCACGATAAAACGTCGTCATCATATGACCAAAATGAGACAGACTAGCTCTAAGCGAAGTGAGAAAGAAAGAGCTAAGACACTCCTGAACGAGTTGCTGGCTGAAATAAATAGCAACGTTCAAATTAGTACTACCGATTACAATTCCACCTCTGGAAGGTCCCATAGAAGTTTGTGGCAGGATGTCGGGGATCTAGAAAGCAAAGGTACCATTATATTTCGAAATTAGTCTACCCCCTATAACTTTCTTATACAGGGTGTTTCAGTTTATTGTTGCATAACTTTAAGATTCGATAGAACTTTTAAAATTAATGCATAAAGTCTATATAAACATGGGTCGAAAAATGCGTGGCTTCCGAAATTTACTTTCTAAAATAGTTTTTTTTAAATATTTCGAACAATATTTGATGTATAACAGTGAAAATTGGTATACAAGGGTTTTTTGGTACGACAAAATGAACCATAGTTTTACTGTAGCCGCTAGAGGGCGCTCTCTACTGTACCTGTAGTCTATTAAAATGACCGACAATTTCTTCTTAGCGCAATTTTTTGCTTTTTGAATAAAAACATTGATTCTTCGCACTTTTCAACATAAAAAAGCTCTCTTGTGAATTTTCGTTATAGTTAGCCGTTTTTGAGATATTTCGATTTTTAAGGTTCGATGCATTTTTAATTATTTATGATAAAATAACGTTAAAAAGTCAGTATCTCGATAATTTTTAGAATTAGGCTGTACCTGCAAATATTTTTGAAATTGAAAGCAGAATAAGGTTAAACGTCACTTAGTTGACAGTTAGTTTTGTTGTCTGTTGAAACCTGAAACGTTTTTTTGCAATTGTGAATGCACGAAATTTGGTTTCTTTTTCCTGAAGCAGCCAGAGAATACGCACGAAGATTTCCAAACAGACGACATCCAACTCGCTCAGTATTTGTAAGAGTGCATCGCCAAATAATTGAAAATGGTTTTGGAAACCTCCAAAGGGATCAAAACATAAATGCAGATTTACCCGTATGATTCTGCGTGAGTTTGATAGAGATCCGACCAACAGTGTTAGGAGAGTTTCTGGTGCCTTGGGAATTTCAGCAAGCCATGTTCACCGGGTTCTTAGAAATGACCATAGACGTCCTTACCATTTGCAACCTGTGCAAGGACTACAGCCAGGGGACGGAGTACGAAGAATCACATTTTGTCAGTGGATTCTTGATAGAACTGATAATAATAGGGAGTTTTTAAGTAACGTTTTATGGACCGATGAGTCATGCTTCACTAGACGTGGAGTGGTAAATTTTCAAAATCAACATATATGGTGTATAAAGTGTACCAGACTCCCGTAACCACAAGAGATATGGTAATAGACAGAATCAGGAATGCATGTGATGAAATAAGGCCTTATTTGAATAATGCTATACCACGTTCGATCATTCGTAGATGTGAATTGTGTATTGAACAATTGGGTTTACATTTCGAGCAACTACTTTAGATTTTGTATGTTTGTCCTTACTATCCAATAGCATTTTAGATGTAAATAATTAATTTAATTTGTTAAAAATAATATTGGAAAATTATACAAATTAATATTCTGTTCTTTTGTGTTTATTTGGAGTTAGGAATTATTGCTGTCTTCAAAAACACAATCAAAACGATCATCTTAATTACTTGTAATGCCCAAATCGAAAACGTAAAAAAATACTATTTTCCCATAAATAATTAAAAATGCATCTAACCTCAAAAATCGTAATATCTCAAAAACGGCTAACTATAACGAAAACACACAGGAGAGCTTTTTTATGCAGAAAATTTCGAAGAATCAGTTTTTATTTTCAAAAAGCAAAAAATTGCACTAAGAAAAAATTTTCGGTTATTTTAATACACTACAGGTACAGTAGCGGCTACAGTAAAGCTATGCCCATGGTTCGTTTTGTCGTACCAAAATTGGGTTTACATTTCGAGCAACTATTTTAGATTTTGTATGTTTGTCCTAACTATCCAATAGCATTTTAGTTGTAAATAATTAATTTAATTTGTTAAAAATAATATTGGAAAATTAAACAAATTGATATTCTGTTTTTTGTGTTTATTTTGAGTTAGGAATTATTGCTGTGCTTAAAAACACAATCTAAACGATTATCTTAATTACTCGTAATGCCCAAATCGAAAATGTAAAAAAAAATCTCAAAAACGGCTAACTATAACGAAAACTCACAAGGAGAGATTTTTTATGTTGAAAAGTGCGAAGAATCAGTTTTTTTATTCAAAAAGCAAAAAATTGCACTAAGAAAAAATGTTCGGTCATTTTAATACACTACAGGTACAGTAGAGAGCGCCTTCTAGCGGCTAGAGTAAAACTATGGTTCATTTTGTCGTGCCAAAAAACCCTTGTATACCAATTTTCACTGTTATACATCAAATATTGTTCGAAATATGTAAAAAAAACTATTTTAGAAAGTAAATTTAAACACCCTGTATTTCGGAAGCCACTCATTTTTCGACCCATGTTTATATAGACTTTATGCATTAATTTTAAAAGTTCTATCGAATCTTAAAGTTATGCAACAATAAACTGAAACACCCTGTATATCAAAATCTTTTCGAAAGGAAGCCTCTGACTTGACTTATTTGGTCTCTAAAACGTGCTGCGCTCGTCCCTGGCAGAAATCCGGCACCATGATTCTGCACAAGTGAGCTTCCGATTGCGCCGTTGATCAGTATCTGAAAATTATCATTGTCCTATTTTTTTAAAAACATCAATCACAAAATGTGTCCAGATATAGGAAATGCAGGAAAAACATGTTTTTACGGAACTTTACCATCGAAATGTATGTTATATTTGCTTCAATAATATATACTTTGCCCATGTATGTATCTAAGCTGATTACATTCCACAATCCTCCAAATATTAGCTTGAGTGGAACGTGAGGTTTGGAAACTTGAAAATATCAAAAACAGCGTTACACTAAGAAAGCAAATAAAAACACACAAATAAAGCGATTTTTCAACTTCCTCTACTCCACCAAAAATGCTTTCAATTTTCAAATATCAATTGAAAAATGTGTCCAGGTAATATATAGAAAATGCAGTAACAACTTGTTTTTACGGAGCTTTATGTTATACGAGGGATGTCTTTTAAGATTTGCATATGGAAATAAAACAACACGGTAGCTAGTTTTAAATGACTTTATTTTTTTTCGAAGTATTCTCCACGAAGATTAATACACATCTGCATGTGCTCGAACCAATTTTCGAAGCACTTATTCCACCCGTTTGCTGGCAGATCCAAAACGGCATTTTTGAATGCGTCAACTGCTTCTTCTGGTGACTGGAACCTTTGACCACGCAGTCTGTTCTTAATTTTCGGGAATGTAAAGAAATCGTTAAGACTTAGATCGGAAATATATGGAGGATGGTCCAATAATTCCACGTTTTCCTCCATTAAATACTGCCTTGTTTTTTGGGCTGTGCGCGAGCTTGCATTGCCTTGGTGGAGGATGATTCTTCTTTCGGGGTTGATTTTTCGAAGCTCGGTGATGACATTTGGCAAACAAATGGTGGTATACCAATCCGCAGTAACAGTTCTTTGCTTATTAAGAGGAATTGTTGCAATATGACCCGCTTTTGACACAAATGTCGTGACCATCTTTTTGGAAACACTTCGAGAACGGATGACTTTTGTTGGCTTTTCTTCACCTTGGAACACCCAAGCAGCCGACTGTCGTTTATCTTCTGGTTCATAACAGTAAATCCACGATTCATCACCACTAACAGTGCTGTACACATTTTTTGAGTTTCGGAAATTGAAACGGTCAAGCGTTTTTTGACACCAACTAATCCTGGCTGCTTTCTGCTCTTCAGTCAACAGGTGGGGTATCCAACGAGAAACGAATTTTCTTACTCCTAATTCTTCACGTAAAATTTTTTGAATTGAGATCTTTGAGATCTTCAAGGACGCCTCAATCTCGCGATATGTCACATGTCTATCTTCAATGATGAGTTTGCGCACAGCATCGACGTTTTTCTGGGTGACTGCCGTTTTTGGTGCACCCACCCTGGGATCGTCGTTAAGACTCACCCGTCCACGTTTGAATTCTCCATACCAACAGAAAATTGTCGACTGATGTGGCGCTTCGCTGCCGAAAACAGACTGTAACTCAGCAAGGCATTCATGTTGCGATAATTGAAAGTTGTAATAAATTGTGGCGCGAAAATATTCACGGTTGAGTTCCATTTTTCCAATGACTTGGTGACACTTAAAAATTCACTGTAGTGAGAACACTACACGTATTGTTGTGAAACTTTGAATTTAAGTTTACTAAAGTGTGAGGTTAAGATACAGTACTGACGTTCGATCCGCGCGGCCTATTATGTTTCTATATGCAAAACTTAAAAGACATCACTCGTATTTAGTTCAGTAATAGTCACTTTACCTTTGTACTTAGTATAAAACTGTTTATATCCCACAATCATCCACATATTTGCTTGAAGAGAAAATGAAGTTTAGAAACTTGAATATTTCAAAAAATTAGCGATACACTGAGAGAGCGAATAGAAACATACAGCTAACATAGTTTTTCAACTTTCTCTACTCCACCAAAAATGCTTTCAATATCCACATATCAATTAAAAAATGTGTCCAGGGTAGCTATAGGAAATGCAGTAGCAACATGTTTTACGGAGCTTCATGTTATATTTAGTTCAATAATATTCACTTTACCTATGTATGTACAGGGTGGCCGATCCATGTGTGGACGAAATATTACTCATAAACAAATACATCTTGGGAAAATCTATTTATGCTATACGTGTCATATGAGGGCACATTTCTAAAATATTGTCCATTATACAGGGTGTCCCAATTTCGACCTACATACCAAAGTTGTGATTTTTCAAACAGAATGCTTCAAAATCAGTGGAGCAGTGGAATATAGTTAAAAATGTGTATATAATCCAAGTGTCACCAATAAGGCGAATCAGTTGGAGATTCTATTAAAGTTGCAGGAAAATCCCCATTTAAGTGCACGGCAAATTGGAGCAGAAACTGATATATGCAGAACTTCTGTCCAAAGTATAGGTGCTATCCATATCTCCTATGTTTGCATCAAGGCCTTCGTCCTTAGAATTTCGCAGCTGGAATGGGGTTTAGTAGAATAATGCTAAATAAAGTGAGTGAAGGCACTACTTTCCTGGATAAGGTTCTTTTTAGCAATGAGGCAACTTTTAACAGCATAGGTGTTGTCAACAGGCATAACATGCACTATTATGCGACGGAGAACCCTTACTGGGTTAGGCAAAAAGATTTCCAAAATAAATGGAGCTTGAATGTTTGGGGAGGAGTTATTGGCAGACAAACTGTCGGGCCTTTCTTTTCGACAACAGGTACAGAATACGTGATTTTTTTTTCGAGCATTTGCCTTTGCTTTTGGAGGATGTCGACCTGCAAACTTGGATGCATATGTACTTCCAACATAACGGCGCACCTGCGCATTATCATAATCGTGTGCGTAACTATTTGGACACCTGGAGTAACAATCGTTGAATCGGTCGTGATGAGCCTATATCTTGACCTCCTAGATCACCAGATATGACACCGATGGACTTCTTTCTATGAGGCTACGTTAAGCAAGAGGCTTATAGATATCCACCATCTACCCCGGAAAATAGAAGGAAAGGATTAAGGATGCTTTTCTGGACATAAGGGAACACATGCTGAGGGATGTGCAGTGGTCATTCGTCCAAAGACTACGGTTGTGTATTCAATATGGTGGAGATATTTTCGAGCAGTTTTTGTAAATTAGGTCTTGAGTAGTGATAGTTGTTTGTTTATGTTGTTGTTATAGTTGTTCTCTATTATGCTTGAAGATGATTTATACTGTTCGGATCGTTATTATTTTTTACGTCAAATCTGTACTCTTAGTGGCAATATGAAACAAGCCCACTGTTTGTCTTTTGTTTCCATGGATGATGTAATTTTTTTTCCTTAATTTTGGTGTGTTGTTCTATTAAAAGCTTAATAACTCAAAATCTAGTGATTTTATCTGTATCAAGCCTTATACCAAAAAACATAAAAAAATGAATCCAAATTTGCACAAATATACAGGGTGACGCATTTCAAATTTTTGAGAAATAGTACAATTCGCGTTTTTGACCACCCTGTATGAGCAAACATGAAAATTCCAAAAAGTAATAAATGAGGTAAAAGCTAAGGTGTGTAGGTTTTTTTTATACAAAGCACTCAGCACTCTAGATTTCAAAATAGCGGATTGAGGGGTATCCAAAGTGGACGGTTTTTCTAGACAAAACACCTTACATCGCAGTAGCTAATGACCAAAACCCCATAGTATGTGATATCAATCTTCTTCTTTTAAATTGGTTTATCCAAATGTGAAATAAAATTTGAGGCATTCCGTTTAAAATATCACAACTTTGATATGTAGGTCAAAATTGATATACCCTGTATAATTCGCAATATTTTCGAAATGTGCCCTCAAATGTCGTGTATAACATGCCATAAATAGATTTACCAAAAATGTATTTGTTTGTGAGTAATATTCCGTCCACACATACATGGGCCACCCTGTATAAAACTGTTTATATCCCACAACCCTCCAAATATTTGCTTGAATAGAAAGTGAAGTTTAGAAATTTGAACATTAGAAAAAATAGGAGAGAGCAAATAGAAAAATACAGCTGACATGATTTCCACTATTTTCAAAAATAATCGTATAATATTAAAATACAGTGATGTTCCAATATATTTTTGACACTGTAACAGCAATTAAATGTTGCCCCACTGCGGATAAACGACCAAACATTAAAAATAGTGGGAGGATTACTGGAATTATTGATCAATAGACGAATTCGAAAATAGAATATACATCAAAAAGGATGTTTCCTAGAACCCAAAAAAAGCTCCGTACTAATGAAGTACTGGTAACTTTGGTGGGATGGGAGGGTGTGGCGTATAAAATGATATGTCATTAATGTATGGCAGCTGGTATTTAACCACAAAGTTTCAGAGAGGATATTTATGACTAGAGGGAAAGCCTACTCAGGTAAAAGGCAGTAAAGTATAAAAATTGAAGTCTGAAGTTCAAAATTCTGGATTGTTTCGAACTAAATAAACGGTACTATTACGACACAAAAAATATTATATAGAAAAATTTCATGACATTATAGAATGTCATTAAATTGAGATTTCGGATCATAATTAATTGTCGGGGCGTGAAATAAATGACATTCCATCCTATCTTTAACTGTACTAAGTCAAAAACCAATAACATGTAATTTACTCTCTTTGTAAAAAAAATTCTGCTTTTTTCCTAGTTTTATTAACCTATCTATATTATTACTTCGAAGGTAAAGTAAGTATTTTAATATAATACAGGGTGGCGCATCGAAAACGAAACAGAAACATTTACTGGCAGCTCAGTTTTTTTGGGGGTGACACCAACCCTAAAATCTTAAATGGAAAGGGGGGTCGAGTGATACCTTATTTTAAAGGTCCTTCAATTTCCTATATAATGATGTAAAATACATTAGTTTCAGTTCAGCAGTTTTGAAGATTTATTGATTTAAAGCTTAAAGTGGACTTTAATAGGTACATCAGATTAGTTTGTAGTACTTTCAGAAGAAATTTGACTAAAAGAATTTACTTAATAAGTAAATGCTTTTCTTCACTACGTTCATAGTTCGTTTATCATTTTGTTGTTGAAAATAGCTATTGGAGCGTTTTTTGTGGCAAAAAGTTATTTCTTGAAGAAAGATAAGGAAATATCTCGTACTTATTTTAAATAGGAATTTAGTACACAGTTTGCGATTAATTTGACCAAACTTTGTTGCTAAAATAACTTGTAACGCTTTATTACATAAATTAACCATGGTATATTCCACAGCAGAAAGAGTTGATAGTATCGAAATTTTTTTCGGAAATAATCAGTGCGCTAACGGAACAGCGGAAATATTTAATGAGCGACATGAGAACAGTAACGTGCATCGAAAATATGTTCTAGAACCTGTAGCTAAATTTCGGGAAACTGGGTCAGTCGCCAATAAAAAACGCAACATTGAAAATCCCATAAGGAACGAAGCAATAGAAGTGGGGTTTTTAGGGCAAGTTTATGTAGATCCTACTTTAAGTACCCGCGAATTGGAGACTGTGTGTGGTGTTAGTCGACGTACTGTCCAACGGATTCTAAAGGCCCATAGTTTTCATCTGTATAAAATTCACCTGGTACAAGAACTTAATGAAGACGATTTTGATCAGCGATTACAATTTTGTGAAGATACGAGTGAACGAATTATAAACGATGAACATTTTCTATTGAACACTTGCTTTTCCGACGAATGTTTCTTTTTCCTAAATGGCGTAGTAAATCGTCATAAATGCCGATATTGGTCCGATTCTAATCCCATAATTTATCATGAGGTTCATCCACAGCAGCCACAAAAATTACATTTTTGGGCTGGTATTTTTGGCGATCATTTAGTTGGTCCTTTTTCCTTACCTGGAGATTTGACCGGTGAAATGTATTTGGAATTACTGGAAGACGCCATAGATCCTGCATGAACAGCCATAATTGAAAATCAGAATGATCGGCGGTACATTGCGAATAGGTTGATGTTCCAACAGGATAGTGCCCCACCACATTACGCATTACGTGTCGACAATATTTAGATCAGACGTTTCCAGATCGATGGATTGGTAGAAGAGGTGCCATTGAATGGCCCCCAAGATCGCCAGATTTATCACCTTTGGATTTCTTTATGTGGGGTCATTTAAAAAGCAAAATCTATGCTACTCAGCCTGCGACAAAGAATTGTGAATGAGTGCCTTCAAATTACTCCTCAAATATTGCAAAATGTGCGGCAACGTTTTGAACAAAATCTTTATTATTGCATGGAGAGTCATGGTGGCCATTTTCAACATTTACTTGCCTAACGGGTCAGTTCATTCTTCATTTTTAAATTACTTCGCTGCCAAATGTATCAATCTCCACTAATGATGGTGTATTAGTTTTATTTAAGCTTTAAATCAATAAATCTTCAAAACTACTGAACTGAAGTACATTAATTTTATATCATTATAAAGAGAATTGAAAGACCTTTAAAATAGGGTATCACTCGACCCCCCTTTCCATTTAAGATTTTGAGGGTGGTATCACCCCCGCTTAGGGGGTTGCACGTGCTAACGTGATTTTTTGCCAAACTTGTGTCCCCCACGAAAAGAAAATCGACGGATCTGAGCGTTTTTCCAAAAAAAAAAACTGAGGTGCCAGTAAATGCGTCTGTTTCGTTTTCGATGCGCCACCCTGTATATTCATAGTGAAATAGCACAAAAGAATCTTCCCAACATCGAAGAATACAATTTAATAATTATATAATTACATTTAATAACTACATTCGTCAAAGTATAATTATATAAATAAGCTGAACTGTTTTCATACGTGTTAAACTAGCACTAAAATATTTTTCAAAATTATTTTTTCGTAGTAAAAGTAATTGTATCGATAGATATTTATTCAGAAATAATTATTACATAAAAAACCACATAGGATAATAGGTTATGAAAGGGTAAAAAGGCAGTACTTGTATCATACAAAGAATAAAAGCAGTTTAAATTGAAAGCTGCTGCTTTATTGCTTAACTTGACAAATTGATTTACTGCTTTTATACTGAAGAAATGTAATCGATATGAAATATTTGACAAAGTGGAAGAATAACTATTTTTGTGAAATAACGTGATCAATGATATATTTTGTAATAATAATCACAAAAGAAATGTAATGTTAAAATTTAAGAAACAGTACATGTATTTGCAAATATTTGATCGAGAAAAATATAGCTCCAAGTGAGACTTGGACTCAACTACTGCATAGAATAATTACGAAACCAAAAACCTTATAAAATGTGCATATTATCTGCGGCTGTTTCATGATCACGTTCCACAGTGAAAGTTGGAAGTAGTCAGTACTGTAACTAACAATACTCAAAAAGCCTTTGTAGCAATTTCGATAATTTGAGACTCATTATGGTATATCTGAACCGCCGAGAAACTGTTTCAAAGCATAATTCAGATGTTCTGCTTTTCTTCTCTTTAAGCTGATATTTCTTTCACAGCGTTAGACTTATTTCCATCCATTGCCCTTTATAACCAATTTAGCAACATGCGTTAACCTTTTCGGTTGTAGACTTAGAAGATTTACGAACGACAGTTACCAGCTTTCGATGTTACGTGGAGCGCATTGGCAACGTTCTCTTGCGGCTTCTGAAACGTCGAGATGACCTGTTATGCCAACAGGATGCTTTCTGTGACGTCATTACACGAAGACTTCTCGAAATACAATGTAAGTAGCAGAAATATACATAAAAAGTGTCGATAGCTCTGTAATTTCAAAATATATCTGTTTTAGTCCAAGCCAATAATCGGTCAAAAGCACTTTTGATTGATCTTAGTGGTCAAAAGTGGTTTTGGGGCTCAGACCATGAATCAAAACTCACGATAACTTAAGTTAGTTGCCACAACAATCATCAAAAAGTTAATCCAACTATTTTTAAGGTAAAGCTTTTTGTCCATATAAAAATTAATTGACATCCTACGAGACCTTTAAACTATAAACAAAGCTCAATTATTTTTCGTATGTAGAAAGTTTAATATTAATTAATGGGCCAAGAGTTTTTTATCCAGGTCTTTTCTCCTGGTTAGTCGTTGGATGTTGAATGTTCTGATTTGCCATCTCAAGACCAAATTGTTATTTTCTGACAGAACAAGCAACATGGTTCCCTATAGATGTTGAACTTACATTTATTGCGTTTCAGATGCAAAACAATGCACTTGCCAACATTTTAGTCGAAAATATACTAAGTGACATATAAATCCGAACACCCAGTTTAAATGGTTTTATTTTAATAAAATTTTGTATAAGTACTTAATGAAGCATAATAAGTAAATGATAAAAATTTCAAAATGATTGCACTGCTTTAAAGCCCTTTGACCTTTAATAATGTGTGGATGCACTCTGATGTGCTACGCATTCTCCAACGCGCCTAGGCATGCTTCTGATCAGGTGGTCAATGTCCTCCTGTGGTATCTCATTCCAGGCAATCACCAACTCCTCTCGAAGTGCTTCTAGAGTCTGAGGAGGACGTTGCAAATTGACCAATCTCCTACCCATCATATCCCACACGTGCTCAATTGGGGATAAGTCGGGAGATCTTGGTGGCCATGGTAACAATGTGACATCATTATGTTGAAAGAAGTCTATTGTGACTCTTGGAACATGTGGTCGGGCATTATCTTGTTAGAAAGTTGAATCTGCCAGGGTGTCAAGATAGGGTAAAAGATGGGGTTCTAGAACTTCGTGGATATAACGCTGCGCGTTCATGTTACGTCTGATGAAGATTAAAGGTGACCTGGAACCATAAGCTATAGCACCCCAAACCATAACTCCAACAGTGTGATGAACATGTCTTTCAAAAAAAAACTGTGGATTCCTCCTTTCACCACGTCGCCTTCTAAGCCTGGCACGACCATCGTGCATGCCTAAACAAAATCGGGACTCGTCACTAAAGACAATACTGTTCCATTCCTGATCCCAGAGTGACCGTTGTCTGCACCACTCAAGGCGATTACGTCGGTGTTCTCGAGTTAAAGGGAGGACCCAGTGTGGCCGGTATGAAAACAAGCCAAAACTTCTCATTCGTCGGTAAACACTTCGCATGCCAATAGGTCTTCCGTGTTCTGCAAACCATTCATTTGCAATGGACCTGGTAGTGGAGAAACGGTCCCTTAAGGCCAATAATCTTAGGCGGCGATCTTCACGGTCTGTTGTTCTACGGCGGCGTCCAGTGCCACTTGCTCTTTGCGTACGGCCTTCTCGAAGCCATGCCTGACAACACCTAACCAAAGTGTCTACACTTCTTTGCACTCTAACTGCAATTGCCCGAAAAGAAAGTCCAGCTTCCCGAAGTCCCACTATACGGCCCCTATCAAACTCACTAAGTTGATGAAATCGTACAGGTCTCCGTACTCTAGGCATCGTAACCGATCGTAAAGGATGTCAAGAACCAAAATCCGCCAACGTTGATTCTTTACTGCGGCTGAAATATTCAGTTTTAGAGCGTTAGTGAATTAAAAAAAGCAGTATAAAAACCGGAATGTCCAACTGATAAGGCTGAAAATTTTTTCACTTGTTATTTACAGTAAGATAAATACATTCACCAGCTTTTATTAAAATAAAACCATTTAAACTGGGTGTTCGGATTTATATACGTATGTCACTTAGTATAGCATAACAGTTAATCGGTGTGTTACGACAACAGTTCTGGGTGGGTTTTCACGTTTTTTGGAAGACTTTTGACGACCTCGGGACAATGGACATAAGTGACTTCAAAAAAATGACAGATAGCCTTATACTCGCTTGTCGTTTTTGAGTGCTGCATGCGTCTTAAGATCCGTAATGATAACAGCGCAACCTCAGCATGTTTCGGACTTTCAGACTATTGTTGTAACACACTGTAAAGGAATGTGATAATAAAAAAAATCAATCGCACTGTCACTTGAAACACAGATAAATCAAACATTGTCATTGTGCTGAAGCAAATCACTTCGTAATTGAAACGTAATACTACAGTTAAGAAGATCTGTCTGTCTGTGATTCTATTGAGCAGACAACCTTGGGGGATTATCGACATGTAAACAGGATAAGTTTCAGATTATCGAAAAAAGTTACACACAAAAGTTCTAGACAACTATACACTCCTTATTTGGAAAATATTCCACTCTCTACAGAATGGAGCAGCCTGTATATTTTAGTATATTCCGAAATACCTTGTCAAAGAATATAGATGATATAGCATGCGGGTTTTGGATCTAGACTCTTCTAGCCTCGGGATATTTTGTCCAAATAAAACACTCAACTCTCATCTTTGACAGCTTCATCAAAAAATATCATATATTTGATTTTTATTTTCATATTTACTATATAAATTCTTATTTTCCCCAATATTTAGAACACTACACAGAATTGAATAATCATTACCACAATTATTGTACAAGAGAAAATATAGATTCCCATTTACAAAGTTGCAACAGTAATATAACTTGCAAATCAATATTTCAGAAAGTATTACTTGCATTTAATAAACTAGATAATAATAATATAAAGTCTACTTGTAATTTGAAGATGTTCTAAAGAAAATTAAAGGAGCATTTCATGGACAGTAAAAATCCTTAGAGATGCAAGTTTTGTTTTTATTAATATTTGAATATTATATACGAGCCCCTTCCCACTTCAGTTGGTCCAACTATTGAAATCTTAGTTTTTTTCTTATCATACACAAATAATAAAAATGTAGGAGGGTGTTATAGGTTTAAAATATTAACAATGAATATTTTGATAATATATAGTAGAAAACACCAACTGTATCACTCCCTAACCAAATTTGCAGCATAAAAATAACACATGTTGCAATTACAGCATATCAACCTATTTTCATTTCAATGAAAAATAAGTCTATAATGCACAAGTGGCTGTGTGAAAAATAAAAGCCATGACAATTGTTTTTATTAATCACAGCTGTCAGAATACGTTTCAAATAGTTTTAGGTAGATAAGATTTTCAAAATGGGTAGAGGAAAGGTTATTAGTGAGAAAATTCGTTTAGTGATAATTAAATTTTTTAATTCTGGGAAATCAAACTCAGAAATTGCAACTTTGTTAGACTTATCGCGGTACAGTGTGAGAAATATTGTTAGAAGATATAACGTAACTGGTTCAGTTAATATTAAGCCACGATATGTGAAAAAAGTAATATTACAAATGCCGACCGAACAGCATTAACAAGAACAATCGTGAAAAACAGGCATGCCAATTATTTACAAATAAGTGCTCTGTGGAGTGACGCCGTTGGAAGGAAAATTTCGAGGTCCACAACTCATAGAGAGGCCCACAAACTGGGTTTTAGCACTCGAAGGTAAGTTTTCTTATAAAATAAAGTGAAGTAAAAACACTAAAGTTGCACAACTTGTTTATAGGCCAAAGAAAAGCCACTATTAACTCCACTGCAAAAGAAAAATCGGCTTAGATGGGCTAAAGAACATGGACAATGGACAGCTCAACAATGGTGTGCAATACAATGGAGTGATGAGGCCCGATTCGAAGTTTGTGTAGGTGATAGTCGCAGTAGAGTTATTCGCAAAAAAATGAAGCATTCCATGTTGACTGTCTGAAGAGAAAAGTGAAATTTCCAGCATCCATTATGGTCTGGGGCAGTATGTCATCAAAATGAGTAGGAAAACTTCATATTATTGATGGAAATGTGGATACAAACAAATATTTGGCAATTTTACCAGTGATGGAAGAATGTTTGACATCCGGCCATGATTTTGTGTTTCAGCAAGATGGTGCAGCGTGCCATACCTCAAAAAAGGCTATAAAATGGATGGAAGAAAATAATGTACCACTTTTGAAATGTGTTTCTAGCAGTCCAGATCTGTCACCTATTGAAACATTGTGGCAAAAGGTTCTACGACAACATCCTGCTCGTACAATCACCGAACTGAGACAAAAGCTTCAAGAAATATGGGATTGTTTTACACCAAATTTATGCCAAAACTTGGTTAACACTATGCCCCAAAGAATTTCACCCGTAATAAAAAATAAAGGTGATGTTACCCAATGGTAATCTTTCAATTGCTGCTTTGTTAACTTCGCGCATTTATTCGCACATTGTTTATTTGTTCAGATGTTCTATTAGTTATAGGTCTAACTGATTTCAAATATGTATTTTTTACGACTAGAGTGTATGTAAAATGTTTTTAAGAAAATAAATTGTTATAGAAGTTAATAGTTTCGTCATGTTTAGTTTATAAAGGCATATTTTGGTACAAATCTTGAAGCGGGCCAACTGAAGTGGGAAGGGGCTCGTAGTTGTTGTCATTATTCAAAAGAATGTTATTGTAGCAAAAATTCTATATAAATTTTATACAAATAAAAGAGAAATGTATCGAATTGCGTATTTGACCAATCAGCGGTGTATGTATTTGCCTTGAAAGCTGTTTATTACTTATCTAAGCTCGAAACGATAAATCACAATGACCTGCAACATATAAATTTAAGGAACATAAAGATATATTAGGAATTTGTTGGTAAATGCTACGAGATACATTCCGAGTCAATCTACTTGACACAATTTTGAATGTGATAATGCATGTGTCATACGGCAACAGTGAGTTCCCTAAAAGCTATTTCTGTTATCTAATAGTCCTGTACACGTCACGGGCTGAAAGCATCAACAGGGTTGCCATTTTGACATCCCTTTTTGCACATAATTCACATGTAGATAGATAAGAACAAATCGATACTCCAATGTAAC